TTGTCATTAACCTTTTCGGACCACTTATTTGTTTATTTTGGTGACGATCCGACCTCCATGCTGCTACTCTGGTTACAAAATGCATCCACCAAAGGATATGATAATCTCGACCCTACCCCAAAATAACCAAAATCTGACACGGAGTGAGATGTTTTTTTAGCTGTTCTGTCGTCATTTCCTGCTATCTTCTTCATAAAGTCAGTCAAAATGAATGAATGAAAGGGCGTTTCTTTGACTATTTATAGGCAAATATGGGCGTTACGTGAAGCCTGCAAAAGCTGCACCGCATTTCGAGTCGATTGGGATTTATAAAGGGAAACCGGCGTAGGAAGTGTCGTACGCACTTTCCTCGCCGGTACGCAATGTTCATTGAATCGGAAATTGTCGGAACATTTATGTACCTATTTTTCGGATTTCTACTACGTAAGCAACTTTCCCACGTGAATCCTACGCACGGCGTTATACATGATGCCCCTGGTCCTTAAGTCCTAGGGTGTAACCTCAATGTGGATCTTATCTGTGTTGAGGAAGTCACCCCCGGCAAAAAAACATACCATATTTCAAATCTAAAGGCCAACCATTGACCTCGTCATTTAAATATATTTTTGAAAGTTAAACTAAATGTATAAATGACTAACTAGCATGTGTCCGTTGTTTCCCTGTGCAGGTGCGTAAGGCAGGACAAACCGTCATGGTGGCCGGTGCGGCTACGTTTCTGGGTCTTGGTCTCGTGGCTCTGGCAGGAGCTTATTTCGGAAGCGGCAAGAAGGAAAAAAAGAACGAAAAGTGATACAAATCCCAAGGCACCTCTTCAGGGACACATGATAAGATCACCAGCAAAGCGTGCTTCCTATCATGATCACTCAGAGGAAACACTGACTAATTGACATATTGTTAATAACCCAGAAACCTGGTTGATTTCTATCCTGCATAGTCACCTCCATGTGTCCTGCATGCCTTCCCTGGTTTGACTAACAATGCAAAGCTTTTTGGATGTGATCAAAGCCTTGTATTTTTCTGGCATTCTAAACATGTATAGCATACATGAGCACAACAAATACTAATTTGAGTAATGAAGCAGCCAATACAGAATATGTTAACATGTTTTAAAATAAAATGAAGATTTTGAAGTTGAATGTATATGTTTCGGATTGTGTAGGATGTGAGAGGTTAGGGAGGTATTTCTCTATTGATTAAAAACAAAACATTGATATTTGTTAGTTGCTAATGAAGATATAATATATTTGAGTCAAACTTAGGAAATACTATTTTACATAATCAATGAACAACACTAACTCAATTGTAATTACATTTTATGCAAGAGCCGAGAACCACTGATGTAATGTCACAGTCACTACGGCCTTCTGTTCAGTGTAAAAACACTTTGATGAACTTTGGGTCATGTCGACTCAATTAATTCTACACATTTGCAGTTTTGTTATGAAATGAGTTCACAAGTTAACTGGAAATTCATAACACGTTGTCTTCCTCTGACATTACATTGTTTGTAATCGTTTTGAAAAAAGAATAATTTGTGTGATTCTGGAAGTTTTTATTATGTTAAGAAAAGCCATTTACTATTACCTCTGAATAGTGTCAGCAGTTTCTATTTAACATATGTTAACATAACATTTCCACGTGCTTCATCCCAGGAACTTCCTGTCCATTAGCGCCCAAATGTTTCCTCTGGATGATGAAAATATTTGATTTGAAACATAACCGGATTTTTAAGTGTTATAGCTTTAATGCCTGTCTCCTCGCCTCACATTATTTGTAGTTGTGGCGTTATTGAGCATGGATGCGTGTCCATATACTGCAGGATAAAACGTCTGTATTGGTTTAAGAAAAGATAATAACAGTTACTCACAATGAAAACACATGTTTTGGTACCAATGTTAGAGTAGTATATTTTAAGACACGGCCAAGTTATCTTTTTTTATCGCGTTGTAGGAGTTTTTACCCTTATTTACCTTGTTGGAGTCGGAAGGCCTGTTAACTTATTCCGGCAAATTACTCAGACCTACTAAGAAGCTATTGAGTCTATGTAAGTTTACTACTTGACTCAGATCCACCAACGTCAGCAAGTTCTCACCTCTACTAACTCCTGAAGAACCAGGTTAAATTAACTGCTGTTTCAATTCAGACGACCCGCTAAATCTGTTTAAGCGATCCCGAAGGATTTTTGATATCAGTAATGAGATGTGGCCATACCTAAGTAGGAGTGTGGCAGTTGTGCAATCTTAACTTAAGCAGGAGAGGAGAGCGCAGATTTCTTTTTAAGTTGTCTCAATCCAAAAGGTGGGATCAGTTTATTTGAAGAAAAATTGTCCACACTTGTACAGGGTTTTTACCTTCTCTCGTTACAACATGACCATCCTACAAAACATATCATGCTGTGATCATTTTCTAATATGAAACCTCAATTCACAGTTTTACATTTATTACCCTAAATTGTAACTTCAACTGCCCAATTCAGTTGTGACATTTAAAATCGTCCGACAGAATCTAGAGCCATCTCCTCATAAATAACCGGTGATAATAAAAAGCACATTCACACTTTCATTCAACAAACCAATTCTCATACACACCTATATCCAGCATGAATTCAGAGGACCGTCCTCATAGGTGGCTGGGTTATAAAACTCATTCAAACCTTCATCAAACAATTCACTCAGCATTCAACAAATACATTTGAGCAATCTTACCAAGTTTGAGATAACCAGAGCATACCAGGGGAAACACCCCCCTCTTTCGCTTTCTCTCTCTCAGCTAGTGTTTTTATGCTCAAAACAGGACAGAAAACCTAAAGACAACTCCTCCATACCTAGTGTGCAGAACTGAAAAATATTATTCTCGGCTATGGCATAAACACCTTTTTGGGGCCTCAGTATTTCTCCAACAAGTCAGGAGCCCCCCCTTTGCACAGCCAGCTGTGAATGAAGATAAATGTCTCCCCTCTCTTATCAGTGACACCCATAAAACATAATAGGCCTTACACTCAATTTAACAAACCACTTGTGTTTAGTATATACAGTGAATATAGAAAATCATAAAATATAATGCATTTTCATTGTGGGTTATACAAGAATATAATTGATTATATATATAATTAACTTTCGTTTCAAGTATTCAACCTAATATGGAGACCTCAACAACCTCTGGATAATCTATATTTATATATCGTTTTTTTGTTTTACTAGTCCAGGCATTAAGAAAACCGTTTCTGAGTTGCCCGTCTTCACCTTAACACAAACCAATAACTTTTATTTTGTGGTGCTTACAGCTTAAAGTAAACATCACAAAACTTTGGAGGGGAATGGATACTCAACATAAGTCTCGGTTATATTTTCTACTGAATAAATAACCCACATTGAGCACTGTTAAGACTAATGAGCTCATGTCCTAAAGACTAACTGTTGTTTTAATTCAAATAAGAAACATAGATTCATTGTACTCATATTTATTTTAAGAACATCTCACATGCTACAAGATTCTCAGTAAATGTTGCATTCACACTTCTCAGTCTTCCTGAACTAATCACATTCGTTACACATTAGCTCCAATGATGATTGTGTCTTTTCGGCATCATGTCTGGTACTTAGCAGTGAAACCTTCACATACCAATTCCAACACAGAGATTACATATGGGGGAATGGTTTGATAAAAACACAGAATCTGTCGATGGGAAGACATTTCAGGTGGAAATGTTCTATTCAAATCGGATGTGATCCTACAGAGCAGATCTGGTTTAAAAAGAAAAAAGGCACAAATAAAAGAGTACAAGGGAACTTTGAGGAAACCCCTTTACCATTACCACAACAAATACTGTCAACAATGATTGGTAGGTAAATCTTACTTCCTCAAATGATGCCTTCATGTTTTAGAAGATCTTAAATTCAGGATTATACAGATTCCTTCAAAACATTTCAAAATAAAACTTATTTAAGAAAGCCTCCACCAGTGAACTACTAGGACACATAGGAAAAGGCATGTAAACACGTTCATTGATTTCACTTCAAACCAATTCACCAGCATCGATTTACCTAGTTATTTGCATCATGTGTCTGCAGTGTGTGACACATTTACAGATCTTAACCAGTCAAATGTGTCTCCCGTCAGGACAGTTCAGTTAAATACAGTGCTGGATGTGCAAAGTTAAATGAACATATTTGTAACTCTGTGCCATGACACATTTTGTTAGGCCACACAAATACACAAATGCATGCAGGGATTGATTTTAAGCCTTACATCTGAGTTAGTTAGTGACAGCTGAACTAAAACATTCATATACACTGTATGTGTGTGTACACTGAAAAACATTCAGCATAATAATACAGGTTTGATTCTGTTATATATATATTTCGCAGTTATTAAAAAAAAAAGTGCCATTTCCTCAAGTCATTATAAGACCAGATGCACATTTATATACATTTACTTTACAACTTCAACTTTATGATTTATCTTTTTATGAATGACTGCTGCTCGGTGCCGCTTTTACACTTTTCTGTCTCTGTGTTTTTAAGCTGGGCCTTCCACAATAAAGCATTTACGAAGCGCTGGAATGTTGCTTCTTCACTCATCAGTAAGTTCCTGAATGAAGAAAGAGAATCCTAAAGCGCAGTCCTCTGACGGCTCGCATTCCTCTGACGGCTCGCACTCCTCTCCGCTCCTTTGTTTGTGGAATGTCAGGCATCCAGTCAATCTGGTTCCTGTTCCCTCCTCTCCATCCCGCCCTCAAACCTGCCCGGTCAGTCCAGCTTGCGTGCGCCCAGTTTGAGAGGACCTTTAGCAGCTTTGCGCTCCGCCCGTTTCACCTCCAGCTCCTTCCTCCTCTCCTCCCGTTTCTTCTTGGACAGCTCGGCCTTGCTGAGACCTGGTTCACAATGAAGACAGACAGTTCAATGCAAAGTAGGCTAATAGTCGTCTAACAAGGACACTTCAGCGATAGTGGGAATCAGATTTATTTTGTTCAACAAAAACCATGACCAACAACCTTTTTTTCTATGACTATGAAAATATGGCAGTAAGCCCTTGCTGTGCCTTTATTCAGCATTTCAGATGAGTCTTACCCTGGTTCCCATCCACCGACTCCCAGCTCTCCTCAGCTCCCCATTCTCCTGTGGCCTCTGCAGCCAAGCCCTCTCCAGTCTGACAGGGAGAGAACACAACACACATCACTGAACTGAAATGTTGTACTCATGGTATTCCTGAATTTCCATTTCATCTTCATGTTTTCTTGACCTACAGATGTCCTTCTTATCCTGACAGTGCTGTATTGTTTCACCATTTAAAAGACAACACATTTATTATTCCCACCTTCTGTTGTCTCCATAAAGTTTACAGTTGGGCTGTTTACCCTCATATGATTTTTATGAATAAACTATCTATTGGTGATATCGACAGATCTGTAAATCTCCTCATAAATCATACAAAAGCATCACTTTCAAACAATATTTACCAGAGGTGCTTATGACTTTCAAGAAAATAAGCATAAAAAATAACTAATCATCTGAAGAAATTAAATGGGCTGCCCCCTGCTATACATTCTGTCACACTTTTTTTCGCATAACAACATGAAGCTTAATTTGCAGACCTAAAATATTTTAAAACTGTAAATACAATTAAAATCGAGTGACCCTTTATATCCCTATTGAAATATTTTTGTCTAATATTCACTTCAGGTTTCAACATTTCTGGCATTTTTTTAAATAAACAATCTGATGATCTCTTTGAATCTGTCTATCTATTGCTCTTCTGTGTATTCTGTGTACTTCTGTGTTTTTAGTTTACTTTTGTGTATATATACATATGTATATAAATATTTGTATATGTATATATTTTTTATATTTCTCCGGATTGTGCGAAACAGTATTTTTCGATCTCTCGGTACACACAAAGTGAAAGATTGACAATAAAGTTGACTTTGATTTTGCACCCCGCCCTCCTCACCGTGGGAGTGCCGGCTGTGTTTCTCTGGGACACGCTGGTGAACAGATCATTCTGATTGGCTCCCACGGGGCCTGAGCTGCCGCTGTCCCAGTTGTACTCGCTGGCTAACCGCACTCCTTCGGCCTCGGGGAGCGTGGTATTGGCCAAGGTGGTGTCCGTGTCCTCCTCCCCCCAGTCGTTGCCCCAGCCCTCCTCCCCTGCAGAGCTCTGCCCCGGCCCTTCCTTCTCGTTGGACAAGCTGTCGTCTGCGTCCCAGCCCGAGCTGCTCCAGTCAGCGCTTTGTTTCTTCACCGCCACGGAGGACGACGACCGGCCCACCTACACATTGGGAAGATTTGAAAAGTGAAATGAAGACGCATTGAAGTAATATAAATATACGCCGACATTTTATCTACACAGCAAACACAGACTACAGAGTTCTTGAACTCCATAACATCTTACAGGTAGGTGTCTCATATATAAACCGTGACAGTGAAGAACACAACAAATCCTGCACACTAACGATCACTTGTTTGGAACAATTCCTTAGTTTTTTGTGATTATGGTATTAGCAACCATACAGCTTTAGTAAAGTGTGTGGCATCATTCTTTTGTTTTATTTTCCCCATAGAAGACACATTTGATCTAAAACATTAACGACTTATTGGTATAAATTAAATAAATCCTGTTAAACCATTTAAGACCAGTATAAAGGAAATAATATAGGAAATACTAATACCAGTGTCATTAGCTTTAAAAGTATATTACTATCAAAAAAGATGGTTTGTGTAATGGATCCAAATGAAAGCGCTCATACTCCTTTGTCACTGGCTTTCTTTTTTGGAGCTGACGTCCCTGACCAGTCAGTGTTCCAGTCATCCGGCTCTGTGTGAGCCTTCTCTGGATCCTATAAGAAAGAGCCAACAATAGATGAGGTTTGAATTACAACCAGATAATACAAAAGAAAAATCTCACATACAAATGTTTTTAAATATCAATTTCTAATTTATCTTTGAGTCAAAAGTGTTGAAATCTTACCTCCAAACTTCCCCAATCCTCCTCTTCATCCCAGCGGTCTCCTATTGGCTCCTCCTTTTTGTCCATTACCTCATGAGTCTGTGATTGGTTGGCATGATTAGAGGCAGCAGGGGGAGACACAGAGGCTTCAGGAGGTTTACCTTCAGAACCTGCGACAGTCAGAGAAAAGCCAAGAGATACGGTATCAGAAGAAAGTATTTCTCAAAGGAAACAACTTCAAAGTGTGTTTTCATGTCTTCAAGGAGTACTGTATGTCAATAAAGTTGTGTGAAGTTGGTTGTGCCAAGAAATCAGATATATTAGTTGAGGTCAGGTCAGTGAGCTCGACCTTGGTTTGGTTTGAAGATTAAAAGTTAATCATAATAAAACAAATCAGCAGGTAAGGAGATGGAAATAAGTTAGTTTATCATCGGTAGCTTCTTGTCTCTGCTTGAGGTGATGGCTTGGGACAATAAGCTGCTACTAGCATAACACAAGTGAATCTCAACTGTTGGCGGTTGAGCTGCATTGTTGGCAAGATTTTACCCAAAAGAAGAATGTGTGGAACTAGAATCACCGCCCTGGGGTTGTGTGCAGTTTAGTTGCAGTTTGAATCCATGTTCGTCCACAATGTCATGACTTTATCTTTTTATCCTATTTAATAAGTAATGTCATACTTAATAAATGAATTATTATTATAGATTTGTCCAAAGATGTGTTTTGTAAGTTCATAGTGACTTTTACCTTTTAAACCTCTAATATCTTATCAGTTCATCTTTGAGTACATACAAACTCGCGTAAGGACCCGATAACCTTGTCACTGACACAAAAGCACAGTATAAAAGACAATATCTACAGTTCTGCTGCAGCAACTTTCTCCTTGTTTTAAAAAAGAATTGTTTATGGAGAATCCAACAATGGGATAGTAGTCAGCAAATGGAATCTGAACACCCTACCTGGTGCAGGCGCTCCATCAGGGGCACTGGTCGGGCTGATGGCGTTGGCGGGCTCTCCGTCCTCAGCGGCTGCCCCCCCCTCCGTCCCCGGAGCGTTGCGGATGAGTTTAGAAGTGATGGAGGACATGCCCGTCACGGCCCAACCGGCCCAGGTGGCGGAGCCTCCTGCAGGCTGAGCACACGACGCTACATCCTTTTCTGCAGGACACACAGGAACGAGAGCTTCACGTTATTCATTTTTGAAAAAATATAGCTGAAATAAATTGTTATTCTGCTCCCGGTATTTGAGCCTTTAAAACTTATTTTGCTTTTCTTTTACCCAAATGTGAGATTTCTTCAGTTGCATACCTATTTCAGCCAGCTTGGTGGGGTCTTCTGACACCGTCTCCAGCTTGGTAAGGAAACTCTTGATGGCTTTAAATGCCTGACAGTGAGAGAGAGGAAGGAGGGAACATCTTGGGTTACATTGAGACAGATTTAAATAATCAGGTACCACTGAGGTAAAACATCTGTATAAAAAGGGTTCCTTTAATTCAAAATGTACTTGATTCAGCCTTACAATATCACTATCCGAAAACAACCACAGCAACTTATAATGAATTAACCATTGTGCTGCTGATAAACAGGACTATAGACACTAAAAGCCATAATAAACACCACGCAGTCACAAATCTCAGTCATGTGTACCTGGTCCCTGACGCTCTTATCGGGGTCCACAGTGATGGTGCAGAGGGTGGGGAGGATGCGGGACGCACTCTCTGTTATGCTGTAGAAGTTGTGTGTTGCTGCGAAGCCCAGCACACCGGCTGAGCGTGAAGCGGGGAACGGGTCCTTGGTGGCCCGTGAGAAGGCGGAAATCAGAACACGTTGCCGAGTCTGTGAAGAGAGGGAAAACAATATTATTTAACTGGAACAGATTCTTTACTCAATGGACTAAAAAGGAGAGTTCATCCAAGTAGAAAAATGAATGTTTCCTTTTACCTGTAGGGCTTTCAACATAGATTTATGAAAAGCACTACAGGTGATAAGAAAAAGCAGTATTTTGGATTTTGGGGTGAACTGTCTCTTTAGATTAATTAATAATGATAGGCAGTGTGCTGTGCAATAGCTGCCCACTGCTCCTACTACTAGGATGGGTTAATGTCAAATGTCACTGTGTGTGCTGTGTGCATGTATGTGTGACCATTAAAGAGGGTTTCATCCCTCCGATTCTATCTATTAGTACTGTGGCTCTTTTTTTACCCCGGCGTTGAGGTAGGAGGCGATCTTGCCCAGGCAGACGGTGGTGTTGCACCGGATCGGGCCCTGTTCATCTCGGGCCTGCAGCCGGGCAAAGTGACGCATCAGCTCCTGGTTCAGGTTGGCCTCATTCAGCTTGGGAGCCAGCAGCAACATAGACTGAGGGTGAGGGGGAAGGGGGAGAAAGTTGTTAATGTCAGGGCTGAAGGAGGATGACAACATCCTGTATGCAAGCAATGTAATGACAGCTCTTGGTTTGCTTAAAGCGGTCAAAGTACCTTAACAGTCTGTTCTCTGATGGCGGGGTTGGTGTCTGTGAAGCCGTGGACAACGTGAGGGAAGATCTGGGAGTTGACTGCTGCCTCGTTCAGATACTGAATGAACTGCTCCATCTGAGACAGAGAAAAAAATACTTTTATTCTTCAACATAGATGTGAAACACGCAGATAGTGATATCATTTTCAGCTAGATCTTATATTATATCCTACTTTTAACTATATTTATTTGACCTTCTCTGTGATAATACATGGGGAAATTAAATGACAAATAAAACACAAGCGGCATGTTCTGATTCTCAGGGGGAGCTAGATGAAAAAGGCCTTTCATACCTGCTGCAGCAGTCGTATCCTCATGGCTCTGTCTGTGGAGGAGAACATCTTCACGATGACGGGGATGATCTTCTGTTGGTACTCTTCTGCTGACAGGAACTTCCCCACCTGGTAGAGAGACAGAGGAAGAGGAAATATGTGGTATAACTTCCAAATGGATATTGGATATATGGCCTGATATGTAATAAGGTGTGAAAGTTGAAAGGTTCACCTTGAAGAGCGGTGTGAGGACTACGGCGCCTGCATTGCCAAACTCGAAGGCGGTGAGCAGCTGAGGCAGGACCTTGTGTTTACAGAAGTCTTCGGGGAAGGAGTCCAGATTTTCACTCAGATCCTGGAAGAACTGCTGCTTCTCAGCCTGCTCCTTGATCTAAAGAGATTCAATTCCACTATTATCAAAATCTATTGTACTATTATTGGTTGTTATACTATAATAGAGTTTCAAATGCTATTCCCGCATGATTGCCAAGAGGATAGTTTCATTAGAACGTGATCCGTCTCCATTTCGACAATCGATATTGTGATTTTACTGGTGAGGTTTGAATGTCTTTATGCAACTCTACGGACCTGTATCTCCTCCAGGAAAAGGTTGCTCTCCACAAAGCTGTTGCTGAGGAATCCCCCGGAGGCTTTACAGTTCTGGAGAAAGCGGGCTGGGTTGGGCCGAGCTCGGGGGTTGGCCCCCACCAGCTCACAGTAGTGCGGCACCAGGGCCTTAGGGATCTGTGGGAACAAAGAGGACATATGAGAGAGAAACACGAGACTGTGAACACGTCTTTATGTCACAAAGATTCCTTTAAGCAAGCACTGGAACAATGACGAATCTGTAGGTTACTTTCTTTACTTGAAGGCAACTCGGCAAGAACACATCGATTCTGCTTAGTCCCCTTAAATTTAATCCGACAATGTTCCTTCTGTACATAACAACAATATACTCAATAAACACAGAATCCACATTTTTGGCATATGTTGAATACCAGAATGTTTTTCACATCACATATCCGATACCTTTAACAACATCGGTTTCGGAAAACTTAGAATTGGAACTAGCCATGGCAGAGTAATAACACAAAGGAACTGTTGGCGTACCTTTCCGAGGGACCGGAGCGAGGATGTGCGAGGCAGCGGCCCGTTGAACACCTCCCAGATCAGGCAGCCCAGCCGCCACACCTCCCCCGCCCTGCAACACACATGCACAATGTTTAATACTAGACTTCCTACAGAAAACTAGGCATTAACCAGGACCCGGTTTGATGTCACAACCACTCACTCAGGCATCTTCCCCTCTTATGAACCTCTTTCTGTCATTTACCAAATATTCTTATTGCTGCTTCTCTTTTATTCCTGTATAACATTTTATTCTAAATCATACTGACTCACTCCTCTCTTACCATTTCTCTCCAGTGTTATTGGCCATCTCTGGTGGGTCATATCTCTCCATGTCTGGGTAAACAGCCTTGGGGGTAGGTAGGGAGACCCCACTTGGGTCACCCTGCTCAGGGGCCACATGGTCGAGGGCCCCAAGCTTCCACTCCCCAGCTCGATCCACAAAGACAGCTGATACACCCACGTTGTTATGAAGCAGATGACAGTCATTGACCAGGAAACTCAGAGCTTTCTGTTGGGGGAGGCAAACAGCAGAAGTGGAGTCAGGGCTTACAGAGAAACAACTCCTGGCAGTATCGGTGGCGCTGTTTCTACTATCCTTACCACTATCTGGTGCAGGCCCCAGGAGACCTCCAGCTCCCCTGATCCCCCCTTCTCTGCCTGGGCCTTCAGGTGGACGGCCAGCGGGGTCACCTGCTCAGTGACCAGGTACAGGCTCTTCTCTGTCTGTGAAGAAAAGCAAAGTACAAATCAACTACTATTGTACGTGTTGGTTTTATTGCAACAACTTCATTTCAGAAAAACTGAACTGAATGGCTGATTGAAAGTATACAAACTAGATCACAATAATTAAAAACATTTATACTAAAATACAGTCATTACATTACATTGCATTTAGCTGTCGCTTTTATCCAAAGCGACTTACAATAAGTGCATTCGACCAGGAAGATACAACCTTGAAGAAAACAGAATCATATAAGTACATCAGGTTTCATAGAGCCAAAACATTTCAAGTGCTACTCAACTAGCTTTAGATAAGCCAGCCCTTTATTAGTATACAAGTGCTTTGTTAGTAATTCTATCGTTCGAAGTGGAGTCGAAAGAGATGAGTTTTCAGTCTGTGCACAGGAAGATGTGCAAGCTATCTGCTGTGCCTGATGTCAATGGGGAAGCTCATTCCACCATTTTGGAGCCGGAAGCAAACCCACAGAGTTTTGCTGATGGGAACTTGGGTCACACCTCGCAGTGCGGGTGCAGCAAGCGTTTGGCTGATGCAGATAGGAGTGGCACGTGGCGGGGTGTACGGGTTTTAACCATGTCGCTAGATGTAGGAAGTTACATCAAACAAAGCTGTTCTGCAGTGAAGGACAGTTTGTTATCTAGGGTCCACACCCAGATTCCTTGCAGTCTGAGTCGGGGAGACAACAGAGGGGCGATGTTGATTGTTAAGTCAAGAGTGGGACAATCTTTTCCCGGAAGGAAAGCAGTCTGAGTCTGTCAAGGTGAGCTTTGAGTATGCAGCAGACATCCATGAGAGATGTCCTGCTAGGCAAGCAGAGATGCCATGCGACGACCTGGGTCTCTGAGCGGGGAAAGGACAGAACTTAATTTGGGTGTCGTCATCCGTAGCAGTGTATGAACAAACCACTGCGGGCTAATGACAACTGAGCGATGTTTGTGTACAAGGAGAAGA